CTAACAGTAAAATGTAGGAACAGCTATTTTATGATATGAATTCTATGACACAGAGTTTTTTGAAATACACTTCACCTGATAAAAATTACATTATCATGTGCTGCCATTTCTCTATAAAGTATCAGTAACTACATGTTATTTTTATACCAGCATTATATAGCTATAAGTTTTCATGGAACTGCTACTAATCATTCTGTGTTGCTAATCACAGTGCTGCTATTCGTCGCTGATATTTGCTGACATTTATCTGTTTTTTTTTTATCATCACTTGTTATTACTGTTATAACTGAAGGAAGTCTGCAGCCCAAGTTTGGAGGGGCTGGCATTGCTGTGCCCGACAGCTGAAAGTACCGCAGTAATAATACTACCAGAATGACATATCCATAATTATAGCCCACATTTGTGGTATACGTTGTCAGTAGAGCCGTTGGTATATTTGAAACAATTATTTATATACATACGTCACATATAATATATGTGTGTACAGTGTGTACACATATATACGCACATTTACATATCATACATACACATATGTTGCATGTATGTTATGTACATATATATATTTTATATGGAAATTAATTGTCGGTAAAGGAGTGTTTCGGTTCATTAAGTTACTCAAGCTGGCTTGATGATGTCCAAATTAGCAAGTATTGTTACCTCGTGTTTTCAGCATATTTTTCTTTTTACTGCTTTAGTGTTTTCTGTGAATGTACGGAAATCATGTATTTTTTTAGTTCAAAATGCTTGTGAAGATGATGCGGATATCAGGGTCGCCACTGGGTTGATCATCGGGATGCTGCATTGACCAAAGCAGTTGGAGAAGTTGCCAGCTGTGTAGTTACCGGACCAGGCGGACTAACAAAAGCCCCAGGTAGTGCAAAGATGAAAGAAACCGTTAGCGCAGGTACAGCGTCAAGCGATGAAGCTTTGGTGGGAAAGCTGGCAGCTGCATTGCTGCAGAAGCAGGCAATGCAGCTGTCCAAAGTATCAAGGTTGTTCTGATCAAGATATGTGGTTGTTTTGATCGAGATTCAATTAAGCCAGAGAAGCAGATGCAGATTGGGACAAACCAGCAAGCCAAGTGGTCAGTGTAAATGTATCGCTTGGCAGTCCAGGGCCCAGTTCATTGTAGGCTCTCAGCCGGAATGTATAGTCGGTTTTCTCTTTCAAATTTGCTACTCGCAGAGAACGCGCTTCTGGACTGCCGGCCCGTGCAATCTGCCACTGATCTTGTGGTAACTTTGGATCGTCGGTGTATAGCACCTGAAAAACTTTTCCCAGTCGAGACAAAACTACACCAAACATACCACTAATTTGACTTTCTGCAAAAGCATCGTTTTCCTGCATTACAAACACTGGCTTACCCTACTGACAGCCGATGAACGTCCGGGTGGGACTAGACGGGAAGCAAACGCGCACTTCGTTCACCCTCAAAGCATCGAATAAGCGAACTCGGGAACGAACAGGAGCAACATCACTAGCATGGGATACCCGCAACGACCCCCTTGGTCAAACTGCCGTTTTGAATTTGGATCTCATCATCAGACTCCCAACACAGTTTGTACCATCGGCACGAATACGGCAAGCACAGCCACAACATTGAGAGCTCGACGTGCAACTCGTCACCACCTCCTGCACGTCCATACATCGCCAAGAAATTGCGCACATGCCGCGTCATTTTGACAGCAATTACAAAACTCGGTCCGACGACAGCGGGCTGTGGGAACTGGAGAAAATAGGCTGGAACGCACTAGGTTTGCCGGTACAATTATTTGTTTCCGCAATAAACATGAAGCAGTCAGGTCGTCAAGTGTATGAATGGTTGTTGTTTTACATTTAATTTGTGCACCCGCTGTTATAAAACATCGCAAATTTTGCAAAAAAAAA